GTTTTTTCCTCTCTGGGCCTTCTATCCTTTTGTGGGCTTAATCAACTTATTAATTGCTAAATAATGGTTATTGGAATTAGATAAATTTCATTGAAATTTGAAATATGTCAACTCATTATTTACCTGATACAAATTTTGTTTAAATTAGATAATTACATTAATCAAAAATTTCCAATAAACATTAGTTTCGTCCTACATTGCGTCACTGTCAAAGCAATGATTATTAACATGAACTACATTTTTATCTATATCAAATGTTTGCCTTTTTCAGTGCATAAAACGATTGTACCTATTATCCATAGAACAATAAACTTGAATATTAAGTCTTGTTTTTGTACCTACACAAATGATTAATTTTGAACTCGATTTTGAAGAAGAAATGAAAAGTCATGAAAAAAAAATAAAAATTGGTGACCCACTTAATAGGTAATACTTACCACTTACCATAGTAATATTCGGTATTGGTAGGTTAGTAATTGGTATTACTATAATACTAACGTAAATATGAAAATATACAAAACTTACTCATCCTGCCAAGGAAGAATTTTAAGGAGCAGCAAAATAAATAAATCATAGTGTAGCAATGAATGGTTTTATTTATTATTGTTGGGTAACAAGTGCGCTAATACGTAACGTATGTAAACTTGGAATGTTATTTCTTCGAATAGACTGAACAGTATTTCAAGAATTTATGTTGGATTAGGTGCATGAATTAATTTATTAATAAAATATTACAGATTTTCATTAAACTATTTTAAAGCTACAAATGTTTCCTTGTAATGTTTTGATAATGATATAAAGTCGTGGGTCGTGGAGCATCAAAAGTTTCATTTTTTAAATGGAACCCCCTGTATATTATTGCATATTTCAAGTCTTCCTTCAATTCGAAGCAAAAATCGAAATACACAGAATGTACAACCAACCGTTTCCGAGTTATTGACTTTTGAATATATCACTGAAACAATTCGATTTAATTAATTTCGGTGTGTTCGGTTTCATTTAACGACGCCATTCTGCGGAAACTGTGATAATTAATAACATTTGACATTAGTTTTCAAGTTAGCATTTATAGATGTATAAAATAACATTATAACAAATCTGGAAAGTAATAAAGAAAGTAATTTTTGTTAAACATTTCAAAATCAAAACTGCATAATAGGGAAATGGTTGAATTTAGGTATTACCATTATTGCTTAAAACTAAAGGAAGAATTAAAATATGCAATAATATACAGGGGGTTCCATTTAGAAAAAGTAAATTTTGATATGCCACAACTTTATGACCGACCCTGTATACTTAAATTGTAAATTATTGGAAAAACTGGAAATCGTCCGATTTTCACCAAAATTGGTATACGGTATATAGTATTTTGAGGTCGTAGATTAGGAATCTGAACTTTTAAAAAATAATTTCAACATTTAATAGCTAATTGACATTTAAAAACCCTTACTACATCTTGAATTTTTAAAAACTACTACAGCCGGAAAATGTGATTCAAGAAGTTTTTAAGATTTCTAGTCTAGCCTAAACAGGTTAACGCACTCAAAATAAACTCTTCTAAATCCCTAATTAATCCACGCAGTCAAAACTCCGTCGACATAAAAAAGAAATAAAATGGACCTATATTCCTCTTGAGTTACGAAAGCCACGATTTTCTAAATAGTTTCATATAAAACTTGATAGAGTTATGGACCTTTTATACTAAAATCCAATAAAAAGCATTTGGTAAAGACAAGCAAAGATCAGAAAGAAATGCAGTCAGGCCTATTAAGAAATCTCTGTAACAAATATATGACTGACCAGTGCAATGTGTTACTATTATTGTGTTATAAGTATTAAATCTCAAAAAGAATAAGTAAACCTAGAGGGGTTCTAAAAATACTTGTTGACACAAACGTCACGTTTTGGTACAATATATAATAAAGTATGCATAACACAAATTTTACAAGAAAACTTTGCTTTTAATGTACAGGAATATATAGTTACAATACTTGGTTACCATGACTAAAACTGCATATGTTTATGTTAGGATTGTTATATCTGTCCTTTTTAAATTTTCATAACAACACACTTAGAAGATGGCAGCTGTAAAAAATATCAAGTTGCCGTATTTATTTATTTATTTCCTGACATTGTCACTCGTTTTGACACTTTAGTTTTTTATAATGAGTTTTTACTTTAAATAAATAGTGTTGTAATACTTTAAGCTTAAAAATGTTTGCTTGCAGTTAAACATTGTTCTTTTTGGAGCCTCTTTTAGTGCGAAGTGTACAAGATAGCTTAATAGCCGTAAAAAATTCATCGCAACTTATATCGCAGAATATTTTGAACGGGAAAGCGGTAGTACTGGACTACCTCAGGCGAAGCGCACGAGTATCTAGAAGGGAGTGCGTGCGCAACGAAGTGATAAGAAGAAGAATGGGTGCTTAGGACACGGTGGTTGATAGAATAGAGAGAAGATCGCTGAAATGGTTTGGGCACCTCATGAGAATGCCAGACGATCGATGGCCAAAACGAGTCTTTCAATGGGTTCCGCCACAACGAAGAAAACGAGGAAGACCACGACGATCCTGGAACGACGGAATAAGAGAATCCATGGAAGCTCGGCAATTAGAGGACGATGATGTCTTTGATAGACTGGCTTGGAGACGGGAAACGGGAAGACTGCGTCAGCAGTAGGAGACTTACCCTAACGATTTGTTTGATATGGTAATGGTTTCCACCCGTAATATATAATAAAAAAGCGGTAGTAATGGCCGTTTATGTCTCTTAAGTGCTGTTAAAAAGGTGAGTTTTGTTGATGTAAGTAATAACTGTTTTATAATTAAATTGTTTTGGTTTCCTAAAATATTTTGATTAAATGAAAGTATGTAAAAGTGGGCAACGCTGTGCCGGTCAAGCTTAATCACGTGACTAAAAGTTTATTTGATATGGACTATAATCTCCCATACCTAATAAGTTATTATATTTGTCCTCATCATTAGGCTAAGCAGGCTTGATCACAAGTTTTTTTTTAATAATTGTACTGCAGGTACGTAGGTACCTACTTATTGTTTAGAGTTTTTAAAAAACCGATTTGATCATCAATAGTGATTCCCACGAGACCAACCAGACGAGACTTTCATAAAGTCTTGTCTCGTCTCGCCGATCAAATAAGAAGTCTCGTCTCGAGTCTCGTCTCGGAGCCACCAGTCTCGTCTCGTCTCGCGTCTCGTGAAAGTATCGACATTTCGTCATGCATAATCCTTTGTTCCAGTCCAGTACGAGATATGTATTTATAGTTTGTACAAAACAACCTTGGGATCACGTGACATTTGTAAAGAAACATTTTTGTAACTTATCTAATTTTTCTTGTTTATTTTTTATTAACTAATCGATATTTATTAGGCTACAACTAGCATTGGACTACAACTAGCATATTAGCAATTATTAGACTACAACTAGCATATTTATTAGGCTACAACTACTACTAAACATTCAAGGTGCGGACGTAAAAAAAGATTGATCTCAAGTCACGTGTTCCCAAAGTTTGGTTTGGTTTGGTTTGGTTTTGTTTTGGTTGGATATAAAAATCATATATGTCATAGTAATACGTAAACACAAAACAAAAACCAAAAACTTAACATTAATTTTGAAAATAATTAAAACCAATAATATAGGTACTAACAGCCTTCTCGGTCGCAAATGTTTTTGTTTTTCACCCAGTCATTTAGGCATAACAAACATCGTGCAGATTCATTATTAACCCCTTCCGCTCCATCGTATCCACGTATGGATATTTTTAGATATAGGAAGATTTACCAGAATATCCACGGGTGGATATTCAGATATGGACTGATGTAAACCATTGTATAACAGTGGTATAGAGCTCGCTAGTCTCATTTAGAGTGTGGTAGGGCATAGCTATCCATACGTGGATATTACAGTATAGTAAATAAATATTTTTTTCGTAAATTCTTGGAATAATGTAATTAACTGAAGGTCAACATTTACTATAGTGGTGGTAATCCAACTGCAATAAGTTTTTTATTTAATGCGAATTTTACTTTTTCAAGATAGAAATGATACAAAAATAATACAACTTTTAAATTACGGTTCTGTGCAATTGTTTTACTTCGGAATAATCACGTTTAGGTGGCGCGCGGGGTGTTTGTTTTCATTGCGTACGGGAACAAGTGTCAGTCGGTCGATTTTTAGTATTGATCATTTTATGGATTTTGTTTGATTTGATGGTTATTGTTTAGTTTTTGTTTGTAAAAATGTATAGTGATTTTGACTCCGATAGTGACGTGAACTATATCATGTCAAACAGTGACTCTAGCGATTCAGAGAGCAGTTATTCTTCGACGGATGAGGAAGAAGTTATTGATGCGGTACAAATGGATGACTGGACGACTATCATGGATCCGTTCGAAGACAAGCTTCCTAGGCGTATACCCGAATTTCACAGTCCAATTATGACTTTCATCCGGCAATTGACTTTGAAGATTGCAAGGATGCCGTAAATTATTTCGAGGCATTAGTAAGTCCTAGTATTATAAAAAACCTTTGTGAATGGACCAATAAAAGGGCAGACAAATAGTTTGAAGACAATCCTCAAAATATTATGAAGGCTTTCGGACTAAGGTACAAATCAGTGGAAATGGATGAAATGTACGTATTTCTAGCACTATATTTTCTTACTGGATTGACACAGTGTCCACAACTTTCGGATTATTGGAGTACCGATGATATGTGCACTGGTCCGCCAGTTTTATATAAATCAGTTATGAGCCGAAATCGCTTTTTATCGATTCATTAGATTTTCACCACCAGAACTAGCCAAACGTGAGGCACCGCTAACTAGACTAGGCGTTTTCATAGCACTTATAAAAGAGAATTGTCAAAATTTGGTCGATCCAGGGCCCGTTTTTGCAATCGATGAACAACTTGTGTTATATAAAGGCCGTTTACACTTTCGCCAGTATATAAAAACGAAAAGAAGTCGCTTTGGCATCAAAATGTTTTCTTTATGTCCTAGCGCGCCTGAACTCCGAGGATACACGTGGAATTTTTGTATATATATCGGCAAGGATATATACGACGTGTCACATATACCAGGAACAGAACACCTGTCTTTTTCTGAGAAAATAGTTGTTCACCTTTGCCAGAATCTACTGAACAGTAATCGTGAAGTCATTGCTGACAATTGGTATACATCAGTTCGTCTTTGCGAGTTTCTTTTGACACAAAACACTTTCCTGACCGGCACCATTCGATCAAATAGGGGCGTTCCAAAAGGTTTAGCTTCGGTTCCGTTACAAAAACAACAATCATGTTTTGTTCGCAAGGATATGCTTCTTTTAGTTCGGTACAGTGACAAGAAAGACGTTTATCTTTTGACCAGTAAACATACTGCTGGATTTTGTGAAAAACAACGATATGAATCGGGTGGAAAAGTTTTTTATTATAACAAGCCACAACATATTGAATTCTATAACCAAAATATGGGAGCAGTCGACGCGGTGGACCAAGATACTGAACCGTACAGCCCTTTGCGAAAATCCTATACTTGGTTTACCAAGATAGGTCTCCATATTTTACATCAGATGCTGTTGAACTCCAAGATATTTTACAGCCAGGCTCATAAAAAGCAAGTTTCAATGTATAAGTATACAAGACTAAGCTGTCGCGGTATAATTTTGAAATATAGTAAAGGATACCAAGAAATGAATGATAAAAATAAACCATCATCTTCCAAAGTATTGCATGCAATGGCCGATTTTCCAAAGAAAGTTGGGAAAAAAAGAGCTCTACGAAAAGTATGTGTTATTTGTAAAAGACATGGTGTGCGTAAACTAACAAGAAAATGCTACATTGGTTGTCCCGAAAAACCTGGACTCTGCACAGCTGAACATTTTGAAAATTATCACAAATGAAATTATGTTTTTTTTTCATGTTTTTTCAGTTCATAATTTTGTTGTATTTTTGAACATTTGTTCTGTTTTGTATTAGTTTTTGAAATAAATTGTTTGATTCCATTGTGTATATATAGTCTTGAAACAAAATATCGTCAATTTGGTATAATATCCAAATGAGGATATACTGGTAAGGTACTGATATCCATATATGGATATTTTGGTATACCTATCTATCCACATGTGGATATTCTGGTAAATATATTAAATTGTTAAACAAATTTATATTGTTTAAAATATTAATTTGGTGATAATAATGATAATATCTCATTTATTCCAAACCACAGCTTCCTTCAAACCATTTTTTGATAAAAAAAAATATGTGGTATAGAACCCTATACATGAAAAAACAGCCTGGAGCGGAAGGGGTTAAGGCGATTTCTGTGTTTTCTAATGGTTAACGTAGCACGAGATGGTATACTCAAGAGATCTCGTGCCATCAAACTTAAAATGGGAAGTTCAGAACTATGAGTTCTCCACCATTGTAATATATCTGTGTCTTTATTACACCGGGGAGTTGAATAGTATTTTTGAAGCTCCTGCATCCATTCTCCTTGGGCAGGGGTAGGATTTACTGCGTACAAGGCATCAAAATCAATTACAAAGTCCGACTTTTCAGGTCCAGGATTTTCTCGTCCTTATTGCGTCACCGCTGTTTCTGTCGAACGTTGTCCCTCTAATTGATGAAAATATATCTTTACAAATATCTTGAAATTTCTGAATCGAATTTTATTATAATTTTTAGACCCATTTTGTCATATCAAACGTTTCTAACTTATAACGTGGATCGAGAATTAAAACTGCAGCATAAATCTAGTTCGTTTTACGATAATGCTTTAGTATTTTGTCTCTCGCAGCCTGAAAACCAACAATAAGCTGCTCTTCGACAAGGGTTTGATTTGTTTTTCTGTCCCATTCAAAGATTTTGCTCTCAAGATTATTTATTAGTATATTGATACATACAACCACCATAGATAGGTAAGGTGACGTACTTCTCTCCTCCGAGTTTTTTGGAAAGTATTTGAAAGTTGATTAATACTTTGTGCACTTCTTCTAGCAGTATCCGTTCTTCATCTCTAAGAGCATATGGTTTTAAATCAACAACATTTTGACATAATACACCGAGTCCATGTCTGCCTTTAAGAGCTACTTGCAACATATCATCACTGGAATTCCAGCGTGTAGGTACATCCAACACAGTGTGACACAGGTGTCAGTTGCCGAGAATTACCAGTTGCTTCACACGCACTTCGGAACTTAAGTAAAAGTTGGTTTTTAAGTAAAGGTTTTTCAAGTGTTCACCTGCGAGACTCTCGTACGAGACTCGAGACGAGACCATTAAAAGTCTCGTCTCGTATTGTCCCAGTATCGTCTCGAGTCTCGTCTCGAAAACGAGACGAGACCATACGAGACTCTCGTGGGAATCACTAATCATCGAAACTGTGCGGTCTGGATTCTAACGTGTAAAACAGTGATACGGACAGCTTAATGGAAAATCAAATGTATTAAAAAGAGATATAAAAATTGGGTCGACACATTTCTTCTACGCTGTATTGCCGGATTTTACATCAAAATTTCAAACCACACAAGTAGGCGTTTACGAAAAATGTTGCATTTAGGGTTGGAACTTTATTTGTCGCTATTAGGTTACTCATTTTACTACAGCTGTAATAGATTATATTTAGTTTAGATATATTATCTTCATTTCAGTAGTATGCATGAAAGTTTTTAAAAAAGCTTATATTTTTCTACAAACGTAAAAAACCGGCAACACTGTATGCCGCTTTTGATTTTGTCTCTCTGTCTATCTACCGGACATTTATATTATTCTCTGTTACACTCATTAAAATCCACACCACATAAATTGGATGACCAGCAGGCTATATGTTACGGTTAAAGTCCGATGTCCGGTTAATGTCGACATTAACAGGTTAATGTTTGGGTTTGGGTTTGTTTTTGGTTGTTTTGTTTTGTTTTATTCTCGAGATTAACAAGATATTAACCGAAAATCGGACCTTAACCCTAACATATAAACAAAGGTTTACTTAGAGTAATAAATTAAATCAGACTTAATTTAAGTAAATAAAATATTTCACATAAACATAAATAGAATCATAACAGAAACCATGTACAGGGTGGGTCAAATTCGACGCTTTTAAATGGAAACACCCTTTTCTATAGGAGATAGACGAAAACTAATATCGGTGTCTGGAGCTCATTTTCATCAAAAACATGATGGTGGTGAAAACCGCACATCAATATCAGTTACCGTTCCACAGGAGTACCCGGGTGTTTTCAAAAATGTGCATTTTAACAAATCGCTGGGTAACTTTTTACTATGGAAAATTTTGTATTTCCTATCAAAACATTTCAAAAGCACCTTTTTACGTAGAATTTAATGGTTTAAGTATAATTTTTTTTAAATTAATAATTTAAGAATTATCAACAGAAAATTTGATTTTTTATATGGGACACCCTGTATATTTTTAATTTATTGAAAAGCATTTAAAATTACCTTTCCAAAAATATAACACACTTGATATTTTGCTCGATTCCTCTTCGAGATATAGAGTATATAAAAATTCGCCCGCTTTAAATAAGTATAGGCTTTAAACGGCACCGGCTGTAATGCAAAAAAATTCTAGCTGTGAGCATCAATTAAAACGAAAATAATATTTGCTATGAGAGAATTTTATAACAATTTAAAATATATTTAACCTACATCAACACATTTAAACTATATCTAATAACAATAAAAATAAATAGCAAACCAAGACATGAGATTTTGCTACAGGTGTTCGACATATTGACGGTCTTAGGATTATGGACAGATGGGGCAGTTTTTGAACATTTCCCGCGAAATTCATTAACTCAGTGGGGGTGAAAGATACCCTCTCATAACTGCTAAGTATTTCTAATTCTTGTCTAGATTATTCGGAAGAATAAGGAACCTTTATTCTTCCGCAAATATATCCATAGGATTAGATCCATGGGCATTAAGTCAGGCGGCCTCGACGGCCAACGGCTGGGATCTTGGTTAACTATTTAATTATTCATTATTCTTGAAATTGGCCGCAAAAATTTGCTAACTTCAGCGTTCAGAGGCGGTGCGTCGCGTCGTCTTGCTGGAAAAATATGTTTTTGAGTTCCATTAAGGGCATATCATCAATAAGGGGTCCAAAGCCTACTAGTTAAAAGTGGCGAACTTTTAAAAATTCTGTATTTCGAAGGGGATTATAACAAAATATCAAGTGTGCGATATTTTTGGAAAGGTAATTTTAAATTCTTTTCAGTTAATTAAAAATATAGAGGGTGTCCCAAATAAAAAATCAATTTTCCTGTTGATAACTCTTAAATTATTAATTTTAAAAAAATTATACTTAAACCATTAAATTCGACGTAAAAAGGTGCTTTGGGAATGTTTTCATAGAAATACAAAATTTGCCATAGCAAAAAAGTTACAGCGATTTGTTAAAAATGCACATTTTTGAAAAACACCCCGTAACTTCGAAACGGTAACAGATATTGATGTGCGGTTTTCACCATCATGTTTTTGATGAAAATTGAGCTCCAGACCCCGATATTAGTTTTCGTCTATCTCCTATAGAAAAGGGTGTTTCCATTTAAAAGCGTCGAATTTGACCCACCCTGTACATTATGAAAGAGTGTTATGAAATTATGAGTAGAATTATTATGAGAAAAGAAAATTAGAAATAATTGAGTATGCCCGCATCGTAATAAACAAAATAGGGCATAGAATAAAATAGGGGTCAGGAAATGTCAGTTCCAATTCAATCTAACATACAATGCACATAATACCATACGGTCGAAAAAAAAACGGCGTTAAAGACAGCTGAGGAATGACAATCCATAATAATTTTAGCGAGGTCAAGCCCTAGACGTCATTTATTTGGCCCATATTTTTCTTTATTTTGCAATGGCGCTTACTGCCTAGGCTGTAATTTATTTTTATATTGAGTAAAAATGATTTTTAAATAGCGTAGTTTAAAATTCAATTTAAACTTGACAAGGTTTATGTGAATTTTTAGTAAATGACGTCTAGAGATTGACCTCGTCAAAATTGTCATCAATTGTCATTCACCAGCAGTATTTGGCGATTTTGACGCTGTTTTTTAGACCTGTCATCGTGTATTTTACTGTTTATTTTATTTAAATAATTTTTAACCTAACCTAACCGTAGGATCGAAAAAAAAGGTAGTCCAGTTGGCTTGGAAATGACGATCGATGACATTTCCAATATAGATAAATATTGGTTTATTTAAATCCTTATTGTATGTACAATACAAAAAGAAACAAAACATGGTATAAAAACAATTATTAATTTTATATAGGTATAAAATGTCAGCGATCTTCATTTCATAGCCATCGCTGACGCCATTTTTTTCGATCATTGTATAACATAATATTTATAAATAAGTTAAGACTACTTAACGTCAAATATCTTTGACAAATATTTCTGAGCAATTTTACACTATTATTCGTGTGAAATAAATTGTAACAATGATGTTTGATCAATCTATCCAGTGAGTCAAGAATCAAGTTAAACAGAATATAAGATTATTTTGAAGACGAAGATATAGATATTCCTAAGCTAGAAAATATCTAAACAAGGCTAGAACATAATTGAAAAGTTTTAAATATTTATTTTATCTTTATGACAGTTTATCTAACAGTAGGTATGTCAAAGATAAATAATACTTATCTGTTAAAAAAAATCAAATTTTTAACGATTCATATACCTACTATACTTTAAATTGATTTTTGGACTTTTTGACTTTACTTTTCGCTTTCAACTACAAGCTACAAAGTAAAATATACCGTATGATAGAAAAAAGTTGGCTTGGAAATAACGATCGATGACTGGTCCCCACCGAAGTCCCCACATAATTTTACATACAAAATGACAGCGATCTTCATATATTTTGTTTTCATAGTATATG